ATTTCTTTGATTTTTCGTCAGTGATGAACGACTGAGGCTTTGGCAGAGAAGCTCTTCTCCTGTAGCGGACTTCAAATCCTCGCGGATTCGGCGGGAACGTCGAGCACCTCGGCGCGTTCAAACGGCTCGCGTTCGGCCGCACATAGTCCGATTTTGTTGCGGTTTGTTTTGTTGAACTCAAAATATCCTAAGGAAGATTTTGAGTCCAAGTTTTTTAAAATTGGTCCATTCTAATCGATTTTAGAGAGGGGGGATACTTACTTATTGAACGCCCCTCGTACTTACTCTCATGAACATTTGGTCAAAATTTGCATTATGAATAATGTTACTAGCGTTTGAAATAAATAAATTCGAAGACTGGCAACAAAGGCAGCAAACTTGAACTCAGTATTTCTCAAGTTTGCGTAGTATCATTCTTCAACTTTGAAATACTCTCGCACAGTCAATTTTTTAAAGTTCTTTGTGCCATAATCTGCAGAATTAATTTTTTTGAGATATGATAGAGTTTTCTCTTTTTTTCTTTTTCAGTCCCATTTTGCCTGACTCAATCACAATTTTTTGTCAGTTGTTCAGATGTCGAAAAATTACTATTTATCGGATTACATGAAGCAGTCAAAAATTATCATGAAATGTCTGTGAAGCATGGATTTTGGAAGTGTATTTATTTACACATGAATACAATCCAATATTTTTTAGAGTAAGATTGTGGGGTAGTGAAGTTGAACAAGAAATTTAGAGGGCCAAATTAAGTAGAGTATTAATTTTTGATGCCATCACTCAGGGAAAACACAAAGAAAATCCAGGGAATTGAAAAGTTGAAATAAAGTAGAAATCCTGATTCAGTGTGCTCTGATGTAGAAATCTACAATCTTTTATCACTTCTGTGTCATGTCATAAAAAAGTGTTTATCTTTACACAGGTATTGAAATGTTTCACAAAACATTGGAATATGCTGAAGCTGGTGATCAGCTTGGGGCATTGATTCGAGGCATCAAGAGAGATGATGTTAAAAGAGGCATGGTGATCTGCAAACCAGGAACTGCAGAAGTCAATAATCACGTTGAAGCTCAGGTATACATGTTGAAGAAAGATGAAGGTGGGAACAACAAACCTGCTCTTCCTTGGCAAAACGTTTCGATTTTCTCTTCGACATGGGATTGTACTGGCCAGTTACATCCATCCAAAGAAATGGTCATGCCCGGAGAAGATGCCACGTAAGTATCTTTTCTCTCCTTTGTATTTTCATAATGGGTCAGTTGCGCTGGTCACAAAATCGTGTTTTGAAGCTTGATCCTTGTAAAAAAAGCTAAAATCAATAAGATCTGTCCAAATGGCAACTTCTTACGTTTAATATTAACAGAGATATCACGCTTTGAAAAGTCGGGCTTTTGACGTCATCCACCGTGGTAGTGACACCCCTGGTTTCTTCTACCTTGCTTTCATCCGAGTTTCACGTTGAACAACATAATCTTGCTTTGGTGATACGATTCGATATATTGGAATCAATTAAATAATCCAATGTGATTTTTTAGGGATAGCAAAAAAATTCCAAACCCAGCGGTGAATATCTCTCATCCAAAGTACTTGCATCAAAAAAAGAAGAAGAAAAAGAGGAATGAAAAAATGAACGAATTATGATAAGTATGATTTCCAAATCTTCTTTCATTTTCTTCTGCACTCTAAACTATTGGGGTTTTTTTTTAGGTTCGAGATCAGATTACTGAGGTCCATGTACTTTGAAAAAGGTCAGAGATTCACGATGAGACAAGGTTCAACAACTATTGGAACAGGTGTTGTGACCCAAACTTTACCTCCCTTAACGGACCTAGAGAAGAAACTTATTATGGAATCCAAGAAAAAGAGAGAAAAACTTCTGGCTGAACTTCAGAAACCAGAAGCACCTGCCTCCTAAATTTTCTCTCCTGTCTCATATTAGTTTAGTTTTTCTCTCTTATGTGTAAGTAATTTTTATGTACATTTAAGTTTTTTTCCCGTGTAATATCTTATTTGTGAATAAATTATTTTTTAAGTTTCATTTTTACAATGACTTTCAATTGTTGTTTTTATTATTGTTTCTTCTTTTTTTCTTTTCTTTACAAGTATAATGAAATATGGAGCAAACGTGCAGTTAAGAAAATAAAGCATTTTCTCAATTTCATGGAGGAGAATGATAAGAAAACTTACCATAAGAGTCCAAAGTCAACTTTCATTTTTATTGATAATTTGGAACAAACATGCTCTCAAGTCTTAAGAAGAAAAAGCACATTATAATGTGAGAGGACTATAATGACAGAGAAGACTCCTCCTGTTTGGTTTGTCAGTATGTTTATAAACATACATGTAGGGTTTCTGGTGATCTGTAACTGTAAGGCCAGGGAATTTTACAAGTTACATTTCGGCTTAGCGCACCTTCACCAATGCTATTCGAGAGATCGCGAGCAACTTCTGAGCGCCTTTTTTCTTGATTTGTATCAATAGAGGTGAACACTTATCCCATACCTTGGCTACAGTCAACGCAATTAGAGAAAAAAAATTATCTTAATCTGAGGTTTGTGTTTCTTTTTTTTAAAAAGAAACCAACTATACAGTGGCGTAACGGACTTCCGCCAGGCCCCCTCGCAAACATTTTTACAGTCCCCCCCCATGTCAATGAAAGTGATTAAATGGGGCCCCTAAAGAAGGATCAAGGATTTATAGGGGTTCCAGCCCAGGCCCAAGGATCTACAGGGGGGCCTCTCAAAGCCCGAAATACGAAAAGTGACAAAAAGGAGAAAATGATTTAGTAATCACTGAGTTGACATTGGAAGGTAGGGGCCCTCCAGCAAACAAAAAGTTAGGAACAGCCCAAAAGAAGTATAAAAAACCCCGAGCTAACAATAAAAATCAGAGGAGGAAGCCCCATCTCAGCAAGTAAAGGCCCAAAGTTTGAAACCAAAGCTGAGCATCAAAGAGAGAGAAAAAAAATCTCGGCGGCCGAGGGCCCCCTGCATAGCGGGATCTGCAGGGGCGCCCGTTACGCCACTGCAACTAAAATATATCTCCGGAACTCTCTGTGGATATATTTGGATAAATAGGTAAAGAAAATTCACACAAAATTTTGAGATAAACCGTTGGTTAATTTTTTTAAGAGAATAAAAAATGAGCACAGATTTGCGACGTTGCTATTGGAGATACACATTTTTTTCACTTTCAGCCACCAATGTTAAGGATTCAAAGTCTTTGTAAAAATAGTCCCTGTTTTTAGGTTGTGACTATTATTAGGATTTTTTTTCCTATATTAGTTTGCTTCGTGCAAAAAGAGTTTGAAATTAAGTAATTAATTTTATAATTTCTCGGTTCCTTGACTTTCCCTGATCTTTAATCAAAAGTAAGAAAAATATGTTTTGAATGGGAAAATATTGGATTAATCTAATCCTTGACTTTCAGTTTCATGGAGAATAGTTGAAACCTTTTTTTTCTCTTACTTACAACGTGGCTTGGTTTACATCTGCTGAATTTTGGTCTCATTTAGTTGGAAAACTTTCAGAAGACAGAGGACCGTCCACCATCTTGGTTCTTTTGTTAACTTCAATGCTATGCAGTCGAAATATTTTCTGTGCATGGGTTCAATCAATCTGACAAGTGCCACTGGTGGCCTGATGACTCTTACGGTCGGATCATCGGATGAGAGTTCCGTCATTTTAAAAAACCGCGCTATTTTTCTTGACGTCCATGGACCAATCACAATCCGTTTGTGAGTAAACCCCGCTCCAGGTGTTCAACCAATCAATGAAACTCCTCACCATGCTCATAAGTTAACCTCAAAATTCATAAAAGAGTTAAGAGTATTGAATTGACCATTGATTCAAATTTCAGTATTTATTTACTTCATTTCATTGTAAATTAACTGCGCGGGTTGGAGTTAGTTTGTGGTATTTCACTTTTATATATAGAGTAACTGTTAATCTGTTCAATAATGAAGAAGAAATCTGCCAAAATGTCTATGATGCAGAAAATCGATACACTCAAATCATTGGATGAAAATGAACAAGTGTCGGACTACTCAGACGAATCGGATGACAACGAAGATGTAAGATTTCCTTTCTATCTATCTGTCGTTACTGCAAAACCTTGTGGAATTTAATTTGTTCATAATTTTCATCAAATAATTTAACTTCAAAAGCTAGATACTCAAAAACAATGAACCAGGAAAACTCAGAACAAGCACAAGATGCCAGCATGTCCATTTCTAGGTGTGCAAATAGCTCTAGTCCTCCACAACTTCTGTAGAGGGCAACTTAAACTCTCGGAATGTACTGGGTTGCGGAGTGAAGGCCAGCATATCAGATTGATTAAAACTTTGTCCAATTTTTTGACTGATCTGCAATTTTTATCACCGAAACTTGTATCGGATATACCGTACGTACCGTACCGTACGTATAATCGTATCGGATGTATCTTGTACCGATCAGGGATGAGCTCTGCAGGATGAATTACTGGTATCACCGCTGATCGTAGCGCAACCTATCATAAAATCCTCTTAAAATTTAAGGATCCTCCCCTTTGACTCAACCCATCCATCACCTGCTCTAAAACTGAGTAGATTCAACTGATAAATGAAAACTCAACAGTATGGTGGCTAAAATATTTGAAACATAAGTAGATTCTTGACATTTTCCGACCCTCTTTAGTAAGGAATGGCTTGCCTCTCTTCCATATGAATAAGCAAGACCGATTTAAGGCAGATATTTGTGGTTTACTGATTTTTTCTGACGTTTGGCACATGTTAGTTGCGAGGATCCCAACAGAAGTTGCAGCACTAGTAAGTGCCTACAGATTTTCACATTTGCTCTCGCGGAAGTTCAGGGTCCTGTAGAACTAGTTGTGATGACCCTGTTTACGGGTCTATAAGGGGACGTAGCTGGAGCGTTGTGATATCAGCCGACGGGACGTCCCTAATTAGAGATATCTCGAGCTGACTTCACAAGGCTCCAGGGAGACTGTTGCGTCGGACAGTGGTCGCCTGTGGTCTCTCTATGGAAAGAGATCTCGTGCAGACCACCTACACAACACAACAGTGGGTGCTCTTTGGGGGGGGGCAGTCGTTGACCCTCCCAAAAATGAAAGACGTAGTCAATAAAGAGAGAAAGGGTCTGTCCTTGACTGAATTTCGATATATAGTCTGAGTTGGTTATTCTATCAAATGAAAGGGCTCGACAAGACACAGAAAGAATAGCAAAAGGGGAAAAAAGACTCAAAAAATATGGACAGTGTTGAGAACGAACCTGAGTCGTTCGTTTGACTTATTGGCTCGTCGATGACGCGCAAGTGCAGGCTTGAGCCCTCAGCACAAGCACCATGTTGCAAGGAGCCATGTTACAGCTTTTGTATTTAGTAAAAAAATGTGTCCAACATTTCTTTTGAAATTGATTTACCTTGCACTGCAAAGAGCTCTGAAGCTTACCATCCATCTCCTTAAATCCAGATCTTAAAGTGCAAGTCAAAGACAGTGAAATCATGAAAAAAATCAGCATCTATGATAAAGTTCTGACCTTCAAGTCACTAAATAAGAAACTGCTGTCCACTCATATTTTGTGTCCTCAAAAAAGTGAAAAATCTAGAGTTGACCCGAGCATGGCTAGAAAATTTTGCAGAAGGTGGGGTATGCAAGGGTCTATTACCCTTGACGTGGGTAAACTGGTATTGAGTGATCACATGGCAATCATGACATTTTGGGAGCCAGTCCCCTCCCATGGCCCCTTTAGCTACGCTCTGGAGAATTCAGCTACAACCTCTTTGCTAAGCCTTGCAGAGATTTACAAACTAGTGGTTTGGGTGATTCTTTCAGTGGTAAGGATTGATGCAGTCTTTCTTGGTACATACATGCCCCTTCTTCATAAGATATCATCACTTTAATTGCTCATAACCTTTCCCTCCATTGATTCTCAACTTCAAGTTCCTTTACTGAAGCAAAGTTGATTAATTAATCCGAGTTTATGAGCTCAAACCAGACAAAGCAAAACCATTCCGCAGATGTTAATATTCTTATTTGGAATTTGTTGTTTTTATTTAGTTTCAACCGAAGAAGAAAAAAGTTCAGAAGAAATACTTCGCTCCGGACTTTCAGTTTGTATCCTCCGCCAAAGAGTATAACAAGGATACCTGGGATGATTTAACAAAGTATGTCCGTCGCAAAGTCAGGAGTAAAACAGATGATAAGATACAAAAAGCTCGAAGAAATTTAAAAGGCGTGGTAAGAACTTTCTTATTTTCAATTTTTCATATTTTCTCATCATAATTCTTAAATTTTTACTCAGAGGAAGGCAATTATTTTCAAATGAGGAAACGAGAAAATATTCACCACTTTCCAGTAGGTATCCCTAGATTTATGCCCTGATTTTTTTGCCTTTGGATAGAAATTACCAAAGTAAAACAAAGCTAATCTCACATTTGACTCTGTTATAATCCATACATATTTATCACTGTCTTGAAAGCCTGAGAGTATTTTGGAAACCACCCAAATAATTTCTTTCTCTCGATGCACAGTCAAATCTATTGCTAGGTGGTCTTGTCCATACTAAATTATTATCATACATCATTTTGAATGAATTGTTTATTCACAAGTTTATATATTTGAACTTAGATAAGAACTAAAAAAACGTAATTAGGTAACAATAAAGGAAAAGTAGACGTTTCCTTTTTTTCCTTTTTTTTTATTGCATTCTGGGCATATTTTGTAAGAGATCTAATTTTGTAAATAATGAAATTGGCTATGATATTGAACACCAGGCCCAAGATACAGGGCTTTTAGATTTGCAAAAGATGCTGCAGGCAATGGAGCTGTGACGTTGTTTTCCCCTGATTAATCGAATCGGTGAATGTTTAGTTACAGTTTTTTGATCCTTTGCTGCAGATATGAATTACTCAGGTCTGCATTTAGATTTGTAGTAGTCATTTTTGCCAAGTTACCTATCCAAGTAAGTAGATAAAAAGATCATCACAGAAGTAAGTTTGGAATTGATCATATGAATGTGTCCTAGTGATCAAGTTAGTATATTAATGATGTGTGCCATTATTTTTGTTTCCGTTTTCTATACTTTAAGGATTCAGTGTTTTTTGTCGGTTTTAAGACGTTTTAAATACCTTAATATTTTAAGAAATCAAGCAATTTCTAATCTAAGTATGTATCCACAGGCAGAAGAAGAAGATGAGATAGAAGAAGAGAACAATGCCGATCCTGAACTTTCTAATCTAAGAAAAGGCAAAGATTCAGATGATGAAATAGTTCTTTCAGAAGATGAACTGAAACATGGTAAGCATGAATATTTATCTACTACAAATCTGGAAGCACCATAGTACGTTACTCAGTAAGCTACAAAGAGAAACAAGGAGAAAGTAAGTAAATGAAAGAATATATGATTTTATGAAGTACACAAAAAATTTAGTGCATTTGCGAAATGTAATGAAATTTGAGAAACACTTTCCTTTAATTGTGATCTCGCAAATTACTTTTGTTTTTGTTTTTAAATAAAAAGAAGTTGTTTTAAGTTTTTTGTCCTGAACCTTATATATGGAAGCTGTTAGCAAGTAAAGAGCATAAATTTATNGGGGGGGGGGGGGGGCTCCTGAGGGCTCTAGGAAGGAATGAGGGATAGAAGTTAGGCTAGAGGAGCCTGTGCAAATTACTTGTTGTTCTTATCTTTTCGAAGGACAGCCAGTCACCGCTATTGAATGAAATTTCTTCTGATCATTCTTTGCCTTTACCAAAACATTCACTTAAGAATTCCCGCTAAGATATCAAGTAATATTTTCTTGAGAAAACAAAGCTCAATTTTTTTTTTGCAGATTATTAGTTCTAATAAGTCTACTAAATGCAAAAAATTGGTCAATATATCTTTTAACGTTAGAAAGATATAACTACTCTAAAATCAAAACATCTTAAAAAGGCGGAAATACTGATACACATGAATTTGAATGGCATATATTTTGGTGATCTACGACCTGTGATCGGTGCTCTCCACAAGGTCTCAGGTCTGGGTCCGACATCATGGGAGAATGCAATAGGGTATTTTCCTCGGAAACAAATGGAAACACAGTGGAGACACATGTTTTTCTAGTTTCATCATTAGTGCATGTACTAAAATTAAGTATCAGTGGCTGAAGAACAATTCTGCTTATCTGCAAACTGATCATTCTACAGGACAAGGAAAAAAATTTGCCTGTTTTGTGATTTTGAGGTTAGATTTGCAATTTTTCTTCAACATAGCGGCATCACTAAAGAGCTCCCATATGGAGTTGGAAAAAACTAAAAATATCAGCTTGCATATTTTATACTGTAAAATGCAGTCAAGTTGCCAACTCATTTTCGGAAAAATTGAAGTGTTTCCTAGCCCTCGATTTGTAATTTTGAATGAATAAATTTGAATATATAGCTATAATGTAAGCATGTTGGCTGTACTACTGACGCTGACTTCATCTAAAACGTAGATATTTTTTCTGCAATTGAGAGGACTATCCGTCCTCAGTGTGAAGTTCCCGTCCTCTTCAAAATCTTAGGTACTCCTTGAAATATTTAGCTCATTTTTTTTTTTTTGTTGCTTCTTAGCTTTTTTTAGATTTTGATTCAACTACTGATTTATTGATTTGCAGATGATATTAAATTGAAAGAGAAATTAATCGGTAAGAAAAAACGAAAAAAATTAGCGGCTCAGAGAAAGTTCCAAGATAGTGATGACGAGAATCACAATGGCATAACAGTGGAACAGGAAGATGACGAAAATGATGAATTCTTCGATGATGCTCCTCCTTTCGATGAAAATACTACGTTTTATCAAATGAATTTATCCAGACCTTTAATGAAGGTGTGTAAGCCGATCTTCTTTAGAGTAATGACAAGCTCATCAGCCTTTGTGATGTTGACGGAATGTTAATTGGCCAGTGGTAGAGAAATGGTTGAAATTATAAAAAATTAGGAAACAGGTCAAAAAAAAAAAAAAAAAAGACATTTATTTTTTAGAAATATCTCTGAAGGTTTAAAAATGCAGTTTTTAGCGTTCAGTTGCTCAGCGATGAAACTGAAACTTCGCATGGACCTCTTTACCCGCCATCCTCAATCAGGCGGTGTTCAACTATGTTGGTTAGCCTTGCTGTAATATTTTTGTCTTGTGTAAAGAACATAATCAGGCTTTTTTTTAACAAGGTACCTTTGGCTAATTTCAATCAGTATGAGTGGATATGTATTATATTTACTGAATCAAGGTGGAGAAATGGCGCTGGGTCCAGGTCCACACCATTGCGCGGGGAAAACAAAGCCAAAAAATTCCACCACTGAGATTCGCTTACTGAGCTGAACATCCCCCCCCCCCCCCCCCCCTCAGTCTTGTACTGGTACTCATTATAGCAACAAAATTTTTGACTCTAATTGATAAATTTTTGGAATTTTTTGGCTTTGTTTTCCCCTCAAAATGGTATGGACCCAGCACCATTTCTCCACCTTGTTACATACAGTTCGGGCCATTTTTTAGTGTTTTTTTTCTTGTTTATATTTAATTACATACATCACTACTCCATTTAATCTTTGTAATGAGAAATTTTTCTTTCAATTTATCATGGTTCAAAATTATTAAATTCACTCTCTAAGAGCCCTTCTTTTTTGAGGAAAATAATTGAAGTCTTGTCTTTAAAAGTAATGAAAATCGAAAAAAATGAGTAAAACTGCAAAAACTCTTAACATTACAAAAATCTCTGAAATCCATCTAATTTTAGGTACCTGTTTGTTTTTGCTAAATCTAGGCTATTGGTCAGCTAAATTATGTTCAACCAACACCTATTCAAGCAGCAACAATTCCCACGGTTCTCCTTGGTCGAGATGTTTGTGGTTGTGCAGCGACTGGTACAGGAAAAACTGCTGCGTACATGTTACCTGTTCTTGAGAGATTATTATTCAGACCTGTGAATGACACAGCTGTAACAAGGTAAAATTCTGTTAGATATTGTCTGCGTCTTTTTTTAGTCAGACTTTAATGCCACTCTTCCAATTTCAAGCGAAAAGCATTATGCCTGATTTTCACCGAGAAGGAATTGGCATTGAATCCTTTCAATAACAGTTCTATGAATGATGATCACGAAACTTCTCATTGGGTTTGTCGGGAAATTGTCAGATTCTTAGCAGGGCACTTTACAAAGCTGGTTGAAGTAAAGTTTATAGACATAAGCTGTAAAATTACTCTGTTTGCAACAAATAAACCTCAATTGTAAAACCTCTGCAAATGCATACTTACTTTAGCCGAACACACCTCATGGCTGGACATGTCCCTAGGTCCCGGCATAGCGTCTAAGGTTTACTTGTGTTCATAGCCCTAATAGCCAGACATTCCAATGACTGGGTGCACACACTGAAACTGGCAATATTTTAGAAAGTCTATCTCCACTAAACGGATAGAATCAATATCAAAACAAATGATAAGGAGTGTATCTAGATGGTCAGATTTTCGTGCATATATACTTACACTAATGGAGTCTGACATAACTCGCTCTGAAACTGTTAAAGCAATTGGCGATGGTGTTGATGCTATTGATGCAGTGGCGTGCGGTCCAGATAAGCAAGGCAAGCACTGCTTGCCCAAAGATTTCAAGAGAAAGAAGAAAATTACACCTTTTACATGTTTTACATTTTAGCAAATATAATTTATAAGGTGTTCAGTAAGTAAATTGCATTAAAAACAGAAAGAGAAAGAGACAGAAATACGTATAGAGCCACGAAAGTAGGAAAGCGGCAGAGAGGATGGAGGTGGCGCAGCGCGCTGCGCGGCCTGAACACGGGCCAACTCATGCGCTGGAGAGTCGCTTCTGATCAGCTGAGCGGAGCGCCACTGCTCAGCGGCGGAATCAAGGCAGGTGGGGAGTGCGGTACGTTTCGAGTCCGAGCCCTTCGCTGCGCGATCGCAGCTCGCTTCTCTTGGCCCGTCACCGCAGCGCGCTGCTTCTGCCTCCGATGCGCTATCTTGTTCCCTCTTTCCGTCGCGGTTATAATTGCTCCTCCGGGGCAAATGCCCTTAAATTCTATAAAATGTCGCTCACTTGGATCTATTAGTGACGAATTAGACAATTCACAATCATGTCTTAAACGCAGAAAGCTGTTTTTTGGGGGAATTTTAAGTAACTCAATAAATTCTAAATGCCATAGAATAAAGACTATGATACCTCAAATAAGTGGCATGGCAAAATTAGGATTTAAGAGCATGGAGCCGTCCTCCAATGCTCAATAACATTCGAAACAAGGTGAGTAAACGAAATCATAAGTAAGAGAGAAAGAAATGAAACCACAGTTTTTCAAGAAGTTCCATCAGATTTCATCCGCCAAACAGAGCAAATAGAGTAAAATTTTAAGAATTTTCTAGGGAGGCTCCCTGAGGAGGGGAAAGAGGCTACGTTAACCCCCCCCCCCTCCCCCGGATGGCGAACACTAGAGCTTGCCCTGTCACTAAACCCACCGCACGCCACTGTATTGATGGAGCTGAATTTTTCAGCAATGGAGAGTGACATCTGGCGCATGCCGCTCTTAGCCTTCTAAATTTCTCATCTTTTTTTTTCTGTTATTTGTCTGCACACGCCGGTTGAAGAATCTGACCTCCTAAGGTCTTGTGCAGACAGGAAGAAATACAAGTTTTTTTTTGCCATGGCAAAATTGTTTGAAAAACTAAGCTAGTTTATTCATTCTCTCTTATTTTAGAGTCTTGGTGTTGGTTCCTACTCGAGAACTGGGTGTTCAAGTGTACCAAGTGTCCAAACAATTAGCTCAGTTTACCAGTATAGAAATCGGTCTGTCAGTTGGTGGCCTTGAACTTAAATACCAGGTTTGTTGATAATTTTCAGGATTTATTTTTCAAACAAAAAGTCATTCTGCATGCACCTCTTTCATTTTTATTCTCTTGTCACCAAGGTAGCGGTCAGTTGCGCTAGTCTGAATCATGTTTTGATAGTTCCTTCTTATAGTTTAGCAAAGTTTAATGAGATCTGTCATAATGTTAAATTTTTACGCCCAATCAACACAGGTTCTGTCCATCTAAGAACATGGCGTATGACGTCATCCACCGTAATGGTGCATATCATAGTTTCTTCCACCTTGATTTCATCGGTGTTTTATGTCCAGCAACCAGTGCAAATAGTGTGTATCATTGATTGATAAAACGTAATATGCTCCACCGCGGTGGATGGTGTCGTACGCCGTGTTTTTCAATGAGCAATATCTCTGTTAATGTTGGACGTAGAAACTTAACGTTTGACCCGATCCTCTTAGTTTTTGTCAATTTAAGCATATATGTTTAAATTGTCAAAACTTAATTTTGTGACTAGTGTAACTGAACCATCAAATACAACTAGTATGTACTTTTTTTGTTCTTGGATGTATTATAAGATCTTTTAATTATTTTCTCCTCAAATTTTTTACTTCAGAAAATCGTCAACTGAATCACTAAATACAAAAAGGGCACATGTCCAGAAAACCGAATTGTTCAGGAGACACAAAAAACTGTTTATTTCGTGGTAGATATTTTTCGGAAAGTTGTTATGTTTAAAAAAACCGGCGCTTCGCTTCGCCCTGCGCAGGTTTTTGTAAACATAACAACTTTCCAAAAAATATCTACCACGAAATAAACAGTTTTTTGTGTCTCCTGAACAATTTGGTTTTCTGGACTTGTGCCCTTTTTATATTTAGTGATTCAACTATAGGTTGTAAGTTGCTTTTAAATTGCTGCATCAGTTGAGATTTTTTATTATGAAAAACATATTTAAACCCCATATACCCTATTACCTACTAAATGCTACAGAGGGCATGAAATTCAGAAGATCTCAATTTTTCAGAACCCTAGTAAGAAGAAGGTAGATACTAAGAGTCATTACCCATTACGTATACTGTACCATTTTACCATCAACCACCCAATATTTTTCTATAGAATCCACGATTTGTTTTCTTTGATTCCAGGAAGCAGTTCTCAGGAAAAACCCAGATATTGTCATTGCCACTCCTGGTCGTTTAATCGATCACTTGAAAAACACGCCTTCATTTACTCTAATTGATGTAGAAATTTTGGTACTTGATGAAGCTGATAGGTGGGTTTTCATTTTTTAAGCATATTTTTCTATGCATGTTTAACTTTATTTAATGTTTTTTGTCTGGCTCGGATATTCACCCATTAGATGACACAATTTTCTTGCTACTGTTGCTGCTTGCCAATGCTTGAGGTTTAGAAAAATATGCCTCCTTGTTTACCAGGTCTTTAGCAAGTAAAGCAGCCACAGTATGCTGAGCGAAACTGAATATTGCATTAATTCTCTCCATTGCTGAGTCATTTTCAGTTGATGTATTTCATTGTTTTGTATTTAAGGTGCCGGCAGACAATCCACACCCTGATTTTTATCTGCTAACCTTTACTTATATGTATAATACATGATTAAAAAGTTCTACATATTACCTGCACTACAATTTTTGTGTGTGTAAAATCGGAAAATAGGTGTGGATCATCTGCAGGCCTTTATATTAACCATTTGGGTATATTCTTAAAGGTAGGCAATCCTCCAATTTAATGATACAATTTTACATGTAACTGAAGAACATTCAAAGATGCTACTGAGTACAGAGATGCAAATGTGGCGGCGCGGTACTCGCATACATACTCTCAGTGATGCGTGTGGCGTGATGCGCCTGCTTGAAGCAATTCCAACTTCGGCCGCTAGTTGCAGTTCGATTGCTCGGTTCCCTATCGCAAAGCTGTGCAAACCAGCCTGGTGGGGAGTCGGCGACCGACTATAAATAGTGGCCAGGGCATAGGCCAGACACACAGAATTAGTCAGAATGTGAAAGAGACTCCTTGTCTGGTCCTCGGCTCCTCAAACCCGTATTTATCCACGGCCCAGACCTGTATTCATCACGGCTCAGACCCGTATTCCTACACGGCCTAGACCCGTTTGTATCCACGGCAAAGACCCGTACCCCCTCTCTCCACGGCCCGGACCCGTGCTAGCTCTTAGCATATACTTGGAACTTTAGAATTATATATGTACGTGTGAAACACCAAATGAAATTTAGTGAATACAATTTGAATATGTGTCAGCAAAGCCCTCGTTCTTCATTATTCAAAAACCTACCAACCACCCCCCTCACACAAAGTTTAGCAAATTCAAAATGGAGTTTGTGATGAAGACCTCAGAAATTTCAAATAATGCTATTCTCATGTTCATTATCTCTTATTTCTCTAGAATGCTGGATGAAAATTTCAAAGATCAGATGACAGAAATTATCAAAATGTGCTCTAGAACTCGTCAAACTTTATTGTTCTCCGCCACAATGACAGAAGAAGTTCAAGATCTAGTTTCTCTTTCCCTGACAAAACCGGTCAAAATTTTTGTTGATAGTAATAAGGATGTTGCATTTAACTTAAGGCAAGAATTCATTCGGTAAGTCAATACAATATTCTTCTCTATGAAACCTTGTTTGAGTTTGTAAACCACCACTCCATCTGTACTTTTTTTACACAAGCTTGATCCTACCTGTAATTATATCACTCATCAATGTCAAAACTGCAGAAACGTATATCTCGGTTTGGGACAGTGTACTCCTCCTGTCATTCTTTATTTTCTACATGAAAAACTACCTGATGTCATTTTTTTGAAACTTAAAAGATTCTTCTGCTCTATGTGAGGAACATTATGTGAAAAATTCAAGCCGTGATGTTGGTTGGTCTTCTTTTGAAAAATTAAATAGGAGTTGAGATTTAGAAACACTGTAACCGAGGTACGTTTTTTTGCAACTTCACCGTCAATATTCACTCAATGGTGGTTTTCTTGTGTTTGTCTGAGCCTCATAGAACTTCGAGGGTGTTAACAATTTGATTTTGGGGGAACTCAAGGAAAGGGAAAAGGGAAGTTATTCCCAGTTGTCTGCTTCCAGTTTCATTCAAATCATTTTTATTTACAAACTTACAGTAATAATTTCTGAAGCAGCACTAAATTACTTTGGCATCAGGCCACTTTCATCCAAAAGGAAAAAATCCTTCATTTTTTGAATATCCATTCCTTTACATACTAATTCACCCTGTTGAAGCTAATGATTACTCAGCAGTCAGATGATTAGATCTTCATATAATTACCCAAATTAAAAGCCTTCTTCCACTTTTTAATTCACTGAAATTGTAGTTTGATGAGATTCCTCTCATAGAAGCAACCCTCAAACCAAAGAAATATTTATTTTTAACCCTTTTTTTACTTTCCAGATTACGGAAAGATAAAGAAGATGATCGTGAGGCAATTTTAGCAGCTTTAGTTTGCAGAACATTCCGGGATCATACAATTGTGTTTGTCGCCACAAAAGCTCAAGCACATAAAGTTCATATTCTCTTGGGACTATTAGGACTTAAGGTAAGATACCAGTTCACATTCCAATCAATTAATGCTCTCTCTTATTTTAATTCAAAGGATATCAAGGTCCATTTCAGGGTATCTCAAAACGAATTTATTTTTAAATTCAAAGTTTTACACAAATCGCATTCTTTTGCTTACCTTAGCCTGGAACTGGAGCACGAACGAGTGTTCTTACCCATCTCCATCTCTCTCAAATTGTATCATCAATTTTCAGTATGAGGGAGTTCCTTGTGTCTATGGTTGGCTGCCACCTTTTCTTCAGACCGCTTCCATTGTTGCCGAGTTTAGACTTTGTTTGGAGGTGGCTACTGCCACCCATGATCATGCCTCTTTCCACTTATTTGTGTAGAAGATACACAAATACATATTCGTATACATGTTATATATGTTATATACACACACATATGCATTTGTGTTTGTTTTAATGTGTTGCGTGCAATGTTAAACTCATGAGCTCTACACTAGAGTGTACCTTTGGCCTCACAGTGGCAAACTGACAGCAGACACCAGCATCAACTGATGATAAATTGATATCAGCAAACTGACTAGAACTGTCTACAAAGTTTGGACTTAAAACAATTTTGACCTTGGTTCTTGAATTTCTTTCATTTTTTCACAAAATTTTTCCCTTATTTTCACAAATTTTTCTATCGCAATGGAGTCTAAAAAGATGCTGAAAATGTCCTATTGCAACTTGTTATTTATTGCAGAGGCGGACTTGATCATGAATCTTAGAAACCTAAATCTCACATTCTCAACCCATAACCTATGTTCCCAAGATCATACCAGGACATCGAAAAATGTTTGAAAAATAATCACGAAGTTTCTAGGTCTTCATGTATGCGCTTATTTGTATTGCAGGTTGGAGAGTTACATGGAAATTTAACTCAGCCACAACGTTTGGAGAATCTGAAGAAATTTAAGGATGAAGAATTAGATATATTAGTAGCTACAGATGTTGCTGCCCGTGGTTTAGATATAAGAGGAGTAAAAACTGTGAGTATTATAAGAAAAATAACATTTGTCGTGACCATTTCTTCTATTTCTTTTTGTGAAAACTGGCATGATTCAGAAATTAATTGTATTGTTTTTTAAAGCATTTATTCAGATAAGCTTACCTGAAAGTAGACTTGATCAAATACTGTTTTAATCATTCAAGAATGTCAGTGAAAGTAACTCCTTATTTGCAATCAGTTTTATCAAGAGTTTCGTATATTAACTCATCAGTGTTTTCCCTTTAAAATTAACCTTGAACCTGAAGTAGGATGACAATATTTCCTTTAGCCGCAAGGGGAGCAAGAAAGTAGAAAGTCATGACATCTCTCACACTGATTTTCAGTTTGTTCACAAAATATTTTTTGAATATTTGTGCTTCAGTGCGCCTATAAACATATCTTTAATGATACTTTTTAGGATTTTTTTAATCAAAATTCAGAGTGAGGGATTGTCCTTAATTCGCTTTGCTGTTGCTGTTGTTGTTGTTGTTGTTGTTGTTGTTTTTCTTTTTTGTATTTTTTAAGTATGCATGATGTTCTCTCTTTGATTTCTAGGTGATCAATTTTATGATGCCAACTGGAGTTGACAAGTACATTCATCGAGTCGGTCGAACAGCTCGTGCTGGCAGAGCTGGTGTATCAGTCTCCATTGTCTGCGAGAGTGAGAGGAAAATTTTCAGAGAAATCGTGAAAAGAGCCAAGAACTCTGTTAAGAGTAGATCTATCCCTCAAGGTATTGTATCGGTGACTTCGGTTCAGGTTTTAGAAAGTTAATGGATTGAACCCCTTGAATACTGTCATAATTTGATGGTCGGAGTTCCCTAATTTACAGCCTTGTGTCAAATAGTAATCAATGGTTTTAAAACAGACTAAAAAAACTTAATAATGATGCAATGTAATGCTCCTTTCAATAATCAGCTAAGCTAAAAACTCTAAAATTTCAAATCTTTGTGAGAATTTGACAAATCCATCGCAGCATTTTAAAAATGATGTGACAATTGATTAGATGGTTTCAACCGGATTCAATTTTAATCAAAATGTATTATAATATCAATATAATGTACTTAATGTATCGGCAGATATTTTTGAAGTTTCATCTTAAAATTTTTAAAATTTTCCTTAATAAATTTTGTCATCTTTTAACTTTTTTTTTACTTCTAGATATCATCGACAAGTATAAAGAACGCGTCTCTGCATTAAGTCCTGAAGTAGAAAAAATAATGAAGGAAGAATATGAAGAGCGGCAATTGGCTAAAGTAGAAAATGCAGCAAATAAGGCTGAAAATCTTGTCAAAGGCATTGAAAAACCTAGAGACTGGTTTCAAACTGGTCAAAAAAGGAAAAAAGCCAAGGGTATTCATTTTTTGTTCCATTTTTTTTTTTTAAGTTAGCATTATTGATCTTTACGGTAATGCTACGTAAGTTTTTGGAATGAGTAAAGTCTATCAGGAGGTAATCACGATTACCAATGAAAAACCAGTGTAATGGTATTTCAGTTGTTTTTTACAAGAAATAATTTTTGATCAGCAAGTTTTAATCACTACCATCATACATGTACTAGCAGTGTGAATAAATTATCAGTCTTATCAATTATTAGTAATCTCCAACCCGAAAGTACTATTATAATTTTTATGGACGAAATTATACCTTTTATACTCGTAAAACTGCTCTGGAAAAGATCTTTTTCACCAAAGTCAATCATTTAATGAAGAAGCAACTTTAGTGGGACTTCTAAAAATCATGTTTGTAATTTGATATTGCTTTATTACAATCAGTGTGACGGAACCAACATTATATTGAGGATTTGCATCAACGCATGAATGCCAGAAGAAAAGTAAGGGGTATAAAGGACTGTGAGAATTTTTATGGAATTGTAGAGAGTGAAATTACAAACATATTTCTGCTGTCTAAAAGCATTTAAACATAAATCAGTGTAATTAATGATATTTTTATTGTGCAGCTGACCTACGAAGGAAAATCAGAGAAAAACGAGCAGAAATGGAAGCCTCTCGTAAAGGTAAAAAGTCCAAGAAAGTTGTGGATCCAGAGACAAAGAAGCTGCTAGCGGAACAAAAAGTCCATGCTAAAATGGCCAAATCTCAAATGAAACGGAAAAAAGTAACTGCCTATCGAGAGAAGTCAACTTTCGGTAACAAGATTGATTTATTTTTTACATTTAGTACCTATAAATTTCGTTTGATGCGTAGTTGACCCTAAATTTAAGAGGAGAAAAGTTACATTTATCTGCTTTTCTTGTATTTTTGGTGCTAATTGTATGACCTGTGTCTGTCAAAAATACATTTTCAAATGACTGGTGTTGTTTTGTCTTTTTGATAGTATATGTAGGTACAAAGTCTGATGCATTTTGTATGCAAAATTACCAAAATTTGCCAAAATAGCTCTGCCAAACCACCAAATCTGAGAAAGCATAAAGTTGGAATTGATCGGTAAAAAATTATAATGACAGGGACCATGAGTAATAAATTGCAAAAATTCCAGAGTTCACAAAATCCAATATACATAAGAAGGGTCAGTTTTGGACGGTTGGAAGTTACAAAAGACTTACCTTCCTGTATGATTCAATTTAAATAAAGTCCTGTGATAGAGAGCTGTTCTCTTGGTTGCCACAAAAACTAGAATGTGATACCGAATCTGGATTTTATACAGCTATGCAAAATTAGACTTCTAGTTTTATGCTAATTCCTCTGATGGATCTGCTGTTATGTAACAAAGTCTAATCCTATTTTGCTTCTTTATTCCATCTTTTTTAGGTGCTAATGGGAAGCAAACAAATACAAAGAAATCATACTTTGATGATGCCTTCACTAATACAAGTAAAAAGTCTGCTGATAAATTCCGTGCGCCGTAAGTTTTTTCCAATTATTAATTTACTTTTACCATTGTTGTTTTTTACATACATTGCTTGCTTTAACCATGAAAGTATAAGCATGAAGCATCAAGAGGATTGCAAGGGTCAATCAAAATACTTTTAAAGGATCAAATAGAACTCAGTCAAAGCTGGATGCAATGCCTTTGAACAGACCAGCCAAAAGTGTCATTATTTCAAAGTTGTCATTAAAACAAAACTTGCAAAAAGAAGCATTTTACAATGCTGAAAGTTCATTCCTGCAAAAAGGATTTTATGTACCCATGTACATGGTGGTCTCACAGCGTGCTGTTACTTAATTTGATGTAAGAATTATTAGAGAAGAGGTGGCTAGCTCATTAATACAAACTCATGCAAAAAAGTTAACACTTGCTGAAAAGAGGCTGTTCACCGTGAAAACAGCATTTTGGGAGCAGCTTTCAATGTCAAATGGCAGAATGTTCCAGGACATAAACAGTCCTGTCGGAGACAAAGAGCAGTCAATATAATGTGTATGGGAGTCCACAAAATCTTTCAATACAATATTTTTACTTTCTCGCTCCCATAGGGTAGAGAGGAAGTATTGTCATCCTCCAAAAAAAAAAAAAAAAAAAAAGTTGAAATTTCATCATTTCTAGACGTTTTAAGGTCCCAGGAGTAAAAATAACCATACTTGAAAAAATGTGTGTCCGTCCGTGTGGCGTCCCCCAAATCTGTGTACAGCGCTATCTCAGAATCTATCTGTTCGATTTCATTCAAAATTGGCACAGGACACCATATCTATGGTCTCCTTATGCACGTCCAACGATTTTGAGGTACGCTAAAATTTGGGGGGGCTACGCTCAATTGTCCATTTTTAGCAAAATCACACGGAAAGCTCATTTTGAAAGACTGTAAATTTTGAAAAATGTCTTTAATTCTTTAACAATGGGCATCAAGCACATCACCTGGGTCATTAATTTAAGTTCCAAAAAGATCTTTGGACTAAACTCAAAATTCAAGAGATTACGAGGCCCAAAAGTAGGCACTTTGCTCCGCGAAACAGCTCATTTTCAAGGACTGTAAATTTTAAAAAAAATAAAAAAAATAAAAAAAAATTCCTTCAATTCTTCGAAAGTTGGCATAAGAGCACCACCTGGTTCATTAATTTAAGTTCCTACGAGGTCTTTGGACTAAACTAAAAATTGAAGGGTTACGCGTCATATAGCGAGGAGAGCACTTCGGTCACACGGAGAGCTCATGGACTGTAGATTTTGAAAAAATGCCTTTAATTCTTTGAAAGTTGGCTCAAAAGCACCATCTGAGTCATTAATTTAAGTTCCTAAAGGATTCATGGACTAATCTCATAATTGCAGAGGGGCCGATAGGAAACGCTCAATTCTCTGATAAATGAGTCGGAGCGCTTCTAGATAATAGCAGCAAACGCTTTGAGTCAGGTGAAACCTAGGAATTCAAATGCATTATATAATGCATCATATACTATTTCCAAAATTACTCCGTAGGTAATCACAAAGCAAAATTAGACAACTAATTAGATACATACTCACATTACAAAGGTACTATGAATCATCAAGCTAACGCCAAGAACTGACACTTAGATCTTTATTAAAAACTAATATGTTTGTTGTTAATGAATTTAGAATCCCGGCAGATTCCATCTTTTGCGGTTCCTTTTTACGAGGTACTAAGCACAAATATAATGTAATAATTCGGCACAAATATGACTGATTTAATGCTTGTTAATGAAGGAGGTTATAATTGTTGTAACGTGACGTTTGTTGACTTGTCTCTGGTTGACGTTTGTCGATGGCGCTCTCTATTGTTTTCGCTTTGAGTTACGGGGATACGCGGTAAGGAGATGGCGCTCCTGGCGGGCGTGTCGTGAACCTTCCAGCAGGTAGATTCGCCCGCCAAATTTAAAATTTGGGAGATGCTAAGCGAAAACCGTTTAGTTTTAAGACTATTTGAACATCGAATAGTCATTCTACCCATTCAAGTAGATATTTGATGGCTTTTGACCGTGCTTAAGGAGAGATTATAATATAAAATCGTATCTGAAGTATGATGTCAATGAATCTAATGGATCCTAATGAATCGTAGAAAAGCTAAGATTTTTACGGATCGCCATCTTTGACAGGAGACTTAGTTAATCAATTACATATTTAATTGAAGATGCCTCATAAAATCAACAAGTCGAGTCCGAATATATGAATTCACCACATATCGCGAAGACATTTACAATGAAGTTCAATGGTTTGAATACAAATTTCATAACTATTATCCTGTGATCAAAATTCCAATCAAACTTTATGATTTTGTAAAATTGGCAGTATTTTTCTAAATATTCCAGTAAAAGTGTCTATGCCGGCTCGAGCGAGAAAGTCCCGTGCGGTCCCCGCACCAATCCGCTAAGCGGATGGGGGGGCGAAGCCCCCCAAATGCCGGCGCGTAGCGCCGGTACGCGGCGCGAAGCGCCGCGCATAAATTGGCCGGAGGCCAATTTTTTTTTCTTGAAACAGTGTTGGATTTTTGGCAACTTTTTTTCTTAGTTAAAATTTGATAATGTGAAAAATAAAGGAACTCATGTGTTGTCAGTTCCAACGTACCTCCAAGAATTATACAACAGCTCTAAGTATTTTTATGTTTTTTATTAATAAGCATACTTTCTAATTCTCTGAATACTCTCCTGTCTTACTTAAATGTCCTTTCCTAACCATTTAAATATTTTTCTTTTTCAGAGCCAATCAGAAAATCAAGATCTCTAAAGCCATCGCAAAAAAGAACAAGGGAAAAGTTTTTGGCAAGCCTACTCCCAAGAAAAACCCTTTTCTTTAAGTGTAGCATAAGTAGGTAATACATTTTTGCCAAGTCTTGTAAACTATCATGTGTAGTTTATTTTTATAATTGATCATATCTAAGTTTGTAAGTATGTATACTTTAAATAAATGCTGTTACATATTTAACAACTCGTTTCATCATATCTCCATGGTTTTGCTGTAGTTTCTAGAAGCAATAGGGGCACTTAAGAAACACTGAGGGAATAGGCTTCAATTGAAATATAATTTGCATCTGTAAATTTGACTTGGTCCAAGTGGTGAAGAAATTCCCTATTTTTTAAATTCGTGATGGATCCTGAGATGGGATATGAATCAGATGTCTTAAAGGCATGTTTCCTGATAAAAATTTCGCACAGAATACATCAGAACTTCCAAAACCAATAGTCACAAGTGGAAAATTAATGTTCGTATTTTACATTGTAAATAGTAAATTCAAACGTTCCACTCATCAGAAACCCATGATCTAAGTAGTCCAAGCAGCCATTAAAAAATTACCAATGTGTCAGGCAAATAACTCGGGCATGGTTTCACAAACACTTCCTCTTCGGATACAAGGTCCTTTTCAGCACACAGAAAAATCTTTCCATCGAAAAGTATTCAGAAATTAGTTCAATGCTCAATTTGATTGGATTAGGGCTTGGTCTTTTGTGAGCAGGAATTGTGAATGTACGCACACAAGAAATGCTATTTTCAAACTTATGAATTGAACTTGAAAGTTTCAAAGCGTCCATCATATTTCATGCATAATTTCGATGAGGAAACATGTATTTTAGGATTAATTTTATAGTCTGTCCAGTGGTCCATTGAATGGTAAAAGATGCATTGTGAGAATGAAGCTTTTGTCAAGATTTGTACAGCATAAATTTCAGGTAGACTTAAAATAAAATCCTTAAGTTTGAAAATATACTTTATATAAAGTTTTTTTTTTTTTTTTTTTTTTTTTTACCTTGTTTGCCGTCCTATTTCCTTTTCAGGAATCAGGGATTCTGTACTAACTGAGCAAAGCTCTCAGTCTCCACCGTTAGCAGCTTTTCGGAGAGTGTTATGATAGTGACATAGCCACTGGTGGGAGATAATAAAGTGAAACTTGAAAAGCAGGAGAAACATACAGAAGGGTGTAAGACTGATGACAGCTCTCTAATATATAGGAAAAAGCACTGACATGATCAGAATATCTCTACTGCCGTGGATGTGAGTGTCTATATTTTACGAGAGTTCATCCTCACAGACACATGAAGAAGAAATGGATCCAGGGACTTGACCAGTTTCTGAATCTGACCATTTAATTACAAATCAAGGATCTTTGAATTCAATTCAGTCTTTCAGAAAAATGTAACAAAGAGAGCAAAGTTATGTTCTAATAACAACATTCACCTTTGTTATGCAATGATACAAAAGATTGTAGTTTTCAAGCAAATATCTAATCTGTCAAAGGAGCAAAAATAAATACTGATAATTTGGAGTAGCCTTCAAAAACAATTCAAAGTATTTTAATTGTCAGCACACTGGTGAGTTATATATTTCCAATTTTTTTGAAAAATCAATCCTAGTATGTACTTACCTATAAAATAGAAAATGCGTTGCTTTTTATATTCGTGAGATTTATCTAAACAACCTAGAATTCCATTTAGTTATTCAAATTACAACATTTTGCCGCATTAAATAGGTAGGTATGTAATCTTTTGAAACCTAGCTGATTTCATGAAGTCATTTTTCAAATATTTTATAGTCACAGTACTTTAGAAATGAGGTGCATCTTTTATAACATTATATCTCTTAGTCAGCATTCTTTTGTCTTCAGCAGGGACACGCATTGAGTGGGGAATTTATATCTGCACTGCACAGACAGTGCGTCTATACCTATAGGTACCCTTTATCTGATCAATAATTTTTGACATGGTGGAAATAAAATATTTAAATTTTTAAAAGAATTCGTTAGACCAAGATTGTAGTTGTTTTTTTACTGAGGGCTGGCGCTTCCCATCGTATATAACTGACCAGTCACATAAAAAAAGTGTTAGGGTGACCTTTTTTCCAACTAAATTCCGAAATTGCCTGGGGAGAGGGGGGGGGGGAGGAATCCCATAAAGTTAATGACGGAGTATTGCGGAGTATACAGCCTTTTTTTAGAGTGAAGGATGCTACTTAGGGCATTATTGTTAAGTAAAAGTTCTGTGATCTCTTGTTTGACTTGGCTTCAACTTTGTTTTACAAATCTAAGGGAAACTATTGTGCATATAGAAAAGTAGATGAACTACAGATAGAGAAGAAAGATTATTTTGTAATTTGTGACCACCGGAAATGATCCCCTGTCGAAGTTACCAACCGCGTAACAAAAACACTATCCAAGCTTGAGCTGGGGTTTTCCCCCCAGAATCTCAGAAAACTCGCACCACAACGATTTTGATTTCGCAGAAAATATAGGGTTTTTTTTAACATTATGAAGTAACTTTACGTGAGTGAGCATTACTTTTACGTTTCGAGTTTCGACATCGTCATGGTCATAGGTACTTCAGCGGTGCCTGGTGGCTGTAGTGCTTTATCAAGTGCATAACTTGCCTCTGCAGTTTCCCTTGCCACCTGCCAGTGTCGCCAGTTGCGTTGTTTTTCTCGATCAAGTTCGGTCGTCCGTCGGTAGTCAATGTTGTGAGCTGCTATGTTCATACTAACCTTGAATTTAAATATGATTGTCCCATTTTTATTCAATAACTCCCTTATATCGCTTGTAAATACAGTGAAATGAAGTGTTAATCCCGGAATATCTGATGCGATCGATAGTTCTCTTCTGAACTCCCTAACGCGTGAAATAGTGCCCTGAATGACTTTTATTTACCATTTTTCTGTGTCAGTGCTAAGTTCTTACCAATCTCTTTCTCATGTTCTACCTTATTCTTTAGTCAAGGTTAGACTGGGAGAATCACTCGGAGCCTAAGTTCTCTGTGAAATTAGTGAGTAAACAAAATGGTTTTCTCTGGTTACATCTATGTGCATAATTGTTGTCGCTCCTGTTGACACAGAATTGATTTTACCGTGCTATTGTGACAACCAAGTGCATTGTGGCGCGGGTTATTTTGGCTGTGGTCCACAAAATGACCACAGGTTTGCGCCATATAACATCAGAACCTGCTAATTTACAGTTGAAACCACTAACGTCTGGCATGGAGAAGAAGAAGAGTCCTCAATTGAAGCAGAAAATGCGGTCGGTTGTCGGAACTGCCTCAGACTCGGTAAGTTCTCTCATTCATCCGCTTGTCTCCGTCCCAAAATTGTGTGTATTTGTTGATTCTGGCTATATATGATTCTAAATACATGTAAATTAGACTTGAAATGGAATAGTGGTTATCTACTTGTAGTTTGGAGCCTATAGTTTTTCATCTATAGGTGTTACGGTGTTCAATTCTATGATAATCCTAAGCATTAGAAGTTGTCCATTTGAGCACCTAATTATTTTGTCATTTGAGTGATCTATCTCAGCATTTTCTCTTTAGTCGTATCTATTCAAGTTACGAGGAGTATCATACTTATTCTATCTGATGGTAAGCCTGCCACCAGCCTCACTTGTTTCATATCGCCAGTTAGGATCGACTACTCAAATCCAATGTTCAGGTGTGTTGATAATGTGAGGAGCTGATATGTTTTCAAGTCAATACTTGACAAAGGCTGCCCTATTGTGGTATGAAGGGTATGGAGCTGTTTGTTATCATAGCCTTAGGAAAGTTCGCTGATCATGAGGAACTTTGCTGTGACAGAGTTATTATTTCTACCTGCTAGATCATTAGCGGTTGCCATTTTGGAGACGTTTTTATACTAGTTTTAGCAATGACAAAAATACTGTAATACAGCCTGAATACTGCGAGTAACTGGATGAAAGAATAGTGCGGGATCCATGCATTCCAGTTTTTGAAATTAGCGTGACTGACAGAAGCTCTCACGAAAGATTAAAATTGGTGTTGAGTCTCTCAATAGAATCCTCAGCAAAGCATCCTTATTGCAACTGCTGGGGGCAAACGCTCTCTTCCTGCTCAGTTTTCAGGGTTGCAAGGGCTAGGAAAAATCTGCGAAAGTCAGGGAATAACGAAACAACCTGGAAAATGAGGGAAATTCTTAGGGCTGTAGCTCAACAGCTGAACCATCCATTGCATACTGTACTGTAGATCAGTGTTGCCGAGTTTCCAGAAATTTCTTGGTGTCAGGCGAGCGTTGTGAGCACTGAATCCACAAGTTGTGCATTACTTCAATTTTAAGGTATCTAATTACTCCTCTCAAGCTTGTACTTACCTATCTGAATAATTGAAAATGGGAGTGAGGAATCTCCGCAGATGGTGAGCGGAAGTGTGTCTTCAACTCGATGGATGCAATTTGCACAGTTCAGGAGTTGAAATAGTTGTATGACTCATTTTAGTCTAGCGTGATGTTTGAAAAGCAAGTGACCCCAATTGCAATCTTTGTATTTGTTGACCATGGCAGCAAAATGTTCAGTAACATTTACCTGATTCTATCTTTAGAAAAGTATTGTGATATTGACGTTGAAATAAGATGCAAAAGTTAGAATGTAGCCCCTTAGAGACTGCGTGTGAGGGACTCTACAGTCTACACCTACCTAATGTTCAGTTGACTGTAAGTAATAGAGCTTTAACATCTATTCAAAAACATCTAGTCATAAGGTCTTGCCTTGATTCTAGAATGTATTATTGTTCATCACTAGCTCGCAAAAGTGACTGACTACGGTTTAATTTTCTGTGTTATTCCTTCACCTATCTTTCACGAAGTTAAAAATTCTTCGAAAACTTTGAACAATACTCATTACGTGCTCTTCTTTAAGTAATGGTGATGATGATAATTACGATGATGAACACTGGAAAAAAAGTCTCTCGGATTCTGAGTTCAGACTCTTAAAAAATTTCTCAAGAAGAATTACTCTTGATTCAATCGGATTTTTGCTTGAATCAAAATGAAAGCGACTTCAATTAGTCTTGGCTCTCGATTCAAGCAAAAATCCGATTGAGTCGGAGTATTTCTTCTCGTCAAATTTTTCAGAGTCTAGACTCCAGATCCAAGGCACTTTTTTCCAGTGAAGGTGAATAAAAATGAGTCGAAATTTTAGGACGTTTTAAACCATCGGTAACGTAGCGAGGAGAAGGGGGGGTGGACCCTCCCCCATTCCCCTTGACCGGCAAATATTCCCCTCCCCCTTAAAAACTTCGTGTCTTCAGGAGAGGTTCCACGAAAAATTTCTGGCTACGCCACTGCAATCTGCATGCAATAGCCTTATGCTGATGTTATACCTAACGGTGATTCCGGCAGCCTCCTAATAATTGAGTAACCATTTTGTATTTATATTTATTTTGTCTCTAGTGATATTTCTATTTTCTTTTGATGTAAATTTTTAATTCTGTAATAACGTTATTGGATGGCGAACAAACAAAAAAACATAACAAAAAAAAACGCAATAGCCTTCTTGATATGAGGGTAGCTAAAAGTTAGTGGACGGAAAGAGGTAAATGATATCTACTGGGAGTAGCTCGAAGCCTTGCTCTTTCCTTGCTCGTTGGCCATCGCCTGTTCGCGAAAAGACAAGGCAACGCTGTGAAGGCCTCAAAAGCCGGTTCACGCTTACGTGTTGAGCAACCATGGTCAGTTAGGCAACCCGCGGTGTAATGTCACCACACGCCCGTGTTCAAAATAACCTGATTATTGTGAGAGGAGGGCGACTTTAGGAAGCGTCTCGGAACTTTCAGTCCAGAAGCCAATAAATTTTATGGATCACCGGGACGTCGGGACGTGGATGAGCCCAATTTCATTGGATCAAAGCGTGTCGTAAACGTTAGTAGTTGCCACTATCCTGACTTAACCCCCTCCCTAGCTGTATGCGTACAAGTCGGTTAAACGCGATGGTAGTTTTATCCGCTAGTAATTAGCCTCAGGTATTCTAGTGTGCAGGCTAAGCGTTTCAAAATAACATTCGAACTAATCGCACTTTTTACTTTAAGTCACGCGAAAGGCAGACTTTCCTTGCAGTCCAAACTCTGCGTATTGATGTTTCTTACAGGTAGACGCTGATTTATGTAAGAACATGTAAGTATTTCGTCTTAGGTGCTTCCAAAACTCCGCTCTCATCTTATTTTATTTGAAGGAGAACGGACCGACACCATCCCTTGATGCTTTCATAGAATACTCTTCACACCAAATGGACAAATCCGGGAAGGTTTCACTAAATGGTGACAGTGGGATTTTTTTCCTTCATTTAGGAAATTAATTAAAATTATGACAGGAAGTCTGCAGCGTCCCAAACCGAGGTACTTGGGACGTTTTTGCAGTTTCATTGTTGATATAGGGTTAGGCGGGCACGCGATGCAAGAATGCTCAAGCACCCTAAAAATACGATGACGGCTGAGGAGTGCCTTATTTTAGTTCTAGGAGCTCCATTTTGGAAAAGAAACTCCATTCGGTGGAGCATCAACATTTTTTACTATCATTTAAAAAGTTTCTCATACAAATCAGTGCAGTATCAATCATACACTGGAAAAAAACGCATTGGATTTAGAGTCCAGACTCTTGAAAACATTGACAAGAGACTCTTGATTCAATCAGATTAAAGCTTAAATCAAAAGGAAATCCGCTCATATTAAGAGGCTAGGTTCTTGATTTAAGCTTAAATCTGATTGAATCAAGAGTATTTTTTCTTGCCGATGTTTTTTAGAGTCTGGACTCTAGATCCAATGTGTTTTTTTTTTTTTTTTCCAGTGTACCTACGTACAGCAATCAACGAGTTTCTTATTGCTCTTAAAAGCCTTGTTCCCAAAGATACAACCCCATTGAATCTCGCTCTCTTATGTTGAGTGAAGAGTATTATTGAGCGGCGCTGCGTGGAAAACGTGCATGATGAGAAGAAAAGAAACGCATCTCATCGAATTTTGACTTAGCAATGCGGTATTTGACGGATTTTTAGGAAACTTGTAAAATGCGATTTCCTCTCCCTCCAGGAAGGTAAAAGAAAAGAAAATGAAGGGAAACCCCAACCATACATCTTTTCAAACAAAACCGGAAAAAAATAAACAAATAAATTTAGAGCGGTCAAAATATCGCGACTCAGCGGTGAGATCACCGAGCTTCTTATTTTCGCAGGCATGCCGTAGCTCTACCGGATTCTCTCACGTAAAGCTCCGGTAGATTTGATGGGAACGCCAACGCAAATTTTCCTGGTAAACAATTCGACGGATAAGTCAGCATCATGGCCACTGGCACATAGGACAGCACCGCTTCTCGGACTTGAGGCTCGAGGCAACCCGTCGAATAAGGACAGTCCGGTGTGCACATTTGCAAAATCATGAATCATGCCCGGAGTGACGTCATCGGGCTTGGGCAGACACCGGGCAAGGCGGCGATATCGGGGCGTGAAGAAATACGGTGTAGAATAGGAGGATGAGGATTGAGGAGGTGCACTCGGAGGCGGACGCCAAACTGCCGATGCGGCATCGCATCATCAGCGTCGCGGCGCCGGCGCAGACCTCGTCAATCCAAGATGGATGGATGCAGGTCACCCCAGCATCGCGCAGTGGCTCATGTCACAGAGATGTTTTTCTCTTCGTTTGTGTACCTACTAGATAATGCCCTGAGTAGGAGCAGTGCACTGGAAAAAAAAACACATTGGATCTAGAGTCCAGACTCTTGAAAACATTGACAAGAAAAAATACTCTTGATTCAATCAGATTCAGATATACAGATCTCCTGGAAGATCAGGAATTTTGGAATTTTCTCATTAAAGAACTTCTCTGCGTAGGTTAAATCAAGATAAGAGAGGAGGAAGGACATGGGTATGAAAAAAAAAAGGAAAAAAGCTAGAATGACAGAAAGAAGAGGCAGAAAGCGAGGATAGAAAAGGGGACAAAGATGGAGAAGAAATAAGAAGGAAAGAATAAAAGAGGAGGAGGGAAAAGAGGCACTGGAAAAAAATACATTGGATCTGGAGTCCAGACTCTTGAAAACAGTGACAAGAAAAAATACTCTTGATTCAATCGGATTTTTGCTTGAATCAAAACGAAATCCGCTTAAATTAAGAGGCTTGCTTCTCGATTTAAGCTAGATACTGATTGAATCGAGAGTATTTTTTCTTGTCGATGTTTTTAAGAATCTGGACTCTAGATCCAATGTGTTTTTTTTCCAGTGTGCAATGCTGCCGTGCCAAGGAAAAACGTCGTATGAACCTTCAGGCGTCGCCAAATTTCCT